AAGAACACTATCATTTTTCCTTCCTCAATCCTTTCAAACTTGAAAAGTCAATAGCCAGCTGAAGCCCCTGCTGCTCATCCTTTGTGAGGGAGGGGTTCCAGTATTTCCACCTTCAGGTAGCATTAGGGTCTTAACTCTTTTCTACTTCTGCTGCTAAAGGGAAGCAGTGTGTGCAGATTCTCCCTCCACCACCAGTTTCAGTGAGTCTGTTTAGTCTGTTTGCAGTTTGACCTCAGTGTATTTGTGTCTGCACCAGCCCTTGCTGAAATCAATAGAAAAGATCCCCAATTAAGGTGGGAATTAAATTCCTTCTCTTTCCAAGCAGCCTTGAAGTATTCCTTTCTGTTCTTTCACACTGCTGCATCCTTCATGCAGGAAGAGGGCTGAAATGGCCCCTTCTACTCACTTTCACCAAAGCAAAAATAGGGGAGGATGAGCCTAATCTGAAAATTGTACTCCAATCTGTGTTGTCCCAAATAAGGCCAAGAGATGTTTTCAAGAGGCTTAATTCTTTATTCTTTTCTTGGGATTTTAAAGCTGCTCACTTATATCTCATTATTAAATGGTTTAAATGGTATTAAAGGTTTCTGGTTTCTTACGGGGTAGCTGCTTGTGGTTTTAGAAATATTTTATTTTTTCCCATGAAGGGGAAAAATTAGGTGTGCTTCCTTCAGGTCAGGTATGGGATGGGATTCCCCCCACCCCCACCCCAGCTCTAGGAATACAAAATAAACATGGCCTTATCTGGTTTTGCAGAGATCAAGATGTTTTCAAGGCTGAGTACCATATGCTCTCATGACTTTTGTGAAAAAGAAGAGTACTCAATGCTTAGGAAAGCAATGCTTCTAAATACTCCTAAACACTTGGGCACTAAAAGTGCTTACCACATTAGTTTCACCATTATCATGATGCCTTTAAGGCTGGTCAAAACCTCTGTGTTAAGATATAATAATAATGACTTGCTTAGTACTTCTAACAAAAAAGAGAACTGCCTCTTCTTTTTTTCCTGCATTGTAGTACTTCTTCAAAAAATCTTAATCATGCTTGCTCTCACACTACACTAACAGCTGACTCAGAAGACCCTGAACTATTCTGCCTGTTGATGGGCTCAGTAAAGGAAAAAGCAAACAGCTTTTGACTCTTTTATGAAGGTCTGGTAGATACCCAGATTATTGTCATTTTAAGTGCCAGTATTGCTAATAAAACCACAAAAGTGATAGGCCCATGAATACTCCCTTAAGTAATGTTCAATATTCCAGAGCCTGAAATCTATGACAGTGTAATTATTATCTCTGTTTTGTTTCCCAGGGAAGCTGAGGCCAGTAGCACAGCTGGGAATCTCCTACACTTCCAAATTGCCAGCCCAGCATCCCCCCTAGAAACTAACTGTCCCTTTCCTGTCTCTGACATGCCTCTGGATCCTCAAGCAAGAGGCTGCCCCAAGAGGAAGCAAGGAGCCAGCCCATGAGTCACCTGCTCCCAGACTAGTTTCAGCCATCTCTCTCCTCCAGCAGGGAGGGAGGGAGGGAGAGGGGCTGTGCCAGCTCCCCACCCGCACAGGCTGGGGCAGTGCGAGACCTCAAAGCTTTGTGAGTGCACAGGGCTGGTTTGGCTGCAGCTGGGATCAGCCACAGACACGGTGTCAGGGGGCTGTGCCAGCACACACCAGTGCCTTTCCCAACCCCTGCTGAAGCGGACAGCACCAGGTGTGCTGCTGAGCGAGACCGGGTGCGGCTCTCACCCATTACAGACAGTCTCCAGGATCCTTCACCTTGAGTCAGCTGCTGGCAGGGCTCCCAGAGAGGCAGTCTGCTTTGCATCTTCCATCCCAGGGCGGCCCTGGCAGTTGGGAGAAGATGGGCACACAGTGCTACACCTCTGTTCTAGGACAGCATTACAAATCCTTTTGGCTAATGTACACTTCTATAGGAGGGAATAAACAGCGTCTGGAAGCCACTGAATCAACACAAGGTTTAAACTGCTGGGATAAATGTGCACCAACCCATACGAGTGAACTGCTATGAGCTGACAAGCAGTTTTTATCTGGTCAGCACTGCACTCATCAATTAATTACAGACCAGCATATCCACACCATGGTTTCTCTGTGATTTAGTTAAGTCGATTTTCCAAAACACTTTTAACTAACCCAGTTAGTTTTAACAACCGAATATGTAGAAACATATTTCAGGATCAGGGACAGCAGAATACAGTCAGGACTCTCAGGCACACAGCGCACATAAATGTAACCCTTCCAAATGCATTACAGAAACTCACTGGGGCTGCTTACACTACCCATGCCCACCCCAACTCTCTTGCAGGGGCTGCTGCACTCCCCAGTGACGCTGGCAGAAAGACCCATGCCTGGGTCTTATTTGCCTCATGTTAGAAAGGGTAACATTAAGTCTAAACTGCTGAGGAAGGTTTGTGTTCAGCCCCCAGCCTGCAAAAGGAAGGTAACAAACAGCTGAGGAGCAGTAGCATCTTAAACAGCTGCAGCTGTTTCCCCAGTGAACGTGATTCAGAGCCACAGTGTTCAAGAGCTGAAGCTCAGAACATAGCAACGATTCTTGCAAAATATTTTGCTTCTTGTCTTTTTTTTTTTTTTTTCTTCTCCCCCACACAGTTTTTTAACCTCTTGGTGCCTATGCTGAGTTCCTCCCAAAAATAGGTTTCAGGGTGGAACATACTTGCCACTTGATCCATGGCTTGCTAAATTTAGCCAAACACAGACTGCCTGTATAAGATGGGTCTCTTGAAATGTCAGTAGCCACAAGTAAAGTTGCCAATGTCATCCAGGAAGTGGGAGACCACGGCAGTTATATATTTTACTTAAAATAATAATAAAAAGAAACTTTCATACTCTGTGGAGATGTAACCATAAATTTGATTCTAAAAAGTAGAGAGAGTAAAGAAAAGACAGACTTTAACAAAGCAGCACTTGAGCCAGAAGAAAACCTTTGTTTTAACATATGTAGAAAAGATTAACTCTTTGTATTTGACTAGAATCACTAAAAGTTGAAAAAAAGAACAACCCAGCTCAATTGGCTTTTGGCATTACAAAGTTAAAGTAGAAAACACACTGATAGTGTGGAAGGAAGGAAGGAAGAAAGGACTTGGAAAGAAAAGAATACTCCAACATAACACACAATTCCACCTTCTTAAGTGTTTGATGTCGACCTCTAACTTTGTAAATACATGACTTCTGAAAAAATATCAAATACCCAACTAGTCCTTCATTCAACAAGGCACTGTGATCCACAAAAACAGTTTTCCCAGGAGAAAAATGAGAAACTTTGAAAGGGTGATACCACAGGCTGCTAAAGAACCTTCCTTTTGCTGTCCCTAGGCAGTTTTAATCCCTATGCTCCTTGCAGCATCCCAAAGAGCCAAGTTCTGACACTCAGCATCAGCCTAGCTGTAAATATTCCTAAAGTAGCTTTAAATATATGTATATATATGTATATATATGTATAAAAGGACAGTTATCTATGAACTTAAGCCCATGTTTAAAGAATTAAAAATAAACAATATACTTCTTTAAAAATTATCTGGCAACAGTACCAGAGAAATTCCTGTACATGGAATATCAGATCGATTTATCTCTCTATGAAGGAGAAGGCAGGAACCTGAACTAGGAATAATGCTTCCAGCCTTCTCTTCTCCCACTTCCATCCTTCCTAAAGGGAAAGTAAGAGCTGCTAGTGAGGCCAAGTCAGTCAGGGTCAGACCTTAAGGTAAGTTCTGAATGAACTCCCTTAGCTCCATTTGCAAATTCCCCCCTGCATTCACAGCCCTGCCTAGGCTCTGATAGGTCTTACATATTAGAAATTACCCAATTTGTAAATATCCCCTCTGTATCAGCATTTAAGACTGGTCACCTGCTACACGGTCAGGAACGTGAACCACTTGCTGCAGCTCAGCTCAGGATGAATCTAAACATGGGTGCAATTAAGGACTTGTTAGCATGAAAAATCATTTGGTTTGCACCCAAAGTATATAGAGAAGCTAAGCAAAAGCAGAGCTCAGCTGGCCCAGGGCTGCTGAGGTTCCCATCCCAGGATGTACAAACAAATGAGGGCCTAAAACATGGAGAAGGTTAGGAAGCATATCTGAATGTGGGGCTCTGAGATGAGGCTGGGGTATGGTACACCTGGGCTCAAGAAGTGTCTTGTTGTGTTGGCAGAAGTGATGTATCATGTGTCATCCAGTAAAATGTGATATTGCACTCTCCTGGCAAACAGACCCAGCCTTTAAGATGCCTTTGGGGAATAACCTGTTGCATCTTAAATTTAGCTAACTGTCTGGGCAACTATGGCAGAACTATTTTCAAGATGAAGATGCAGACATCTTATCTTCCCAGAGACTGAGGCAAAGGAATGAGAGATTAACTGTGAAAAATGTATGCATATGGAGAAGTGGAGCTGTTATTTAATATCATGAAACATTTTCCCATTTGAAGAGCTGACTCTTCAGATAGGTAAGCTTCTGGCTGTGATGGGATGGTTGTGGGAAGGGATAATGCAGGGTTTCAGACAGCTGTGGAACTGTCAGAAAGAAGAAACTGTTCACTATGCAACCAGTGGTAGAGATCCTGCAGTGTTTTGTCATCAGTATTTTGCAGAACTCTCCATAAACTGTTGACCTACTTGCCCAAAGTCACAGGTGATTATCTTCATATCCAATATAAATTTGTAAGATGTGGATGTCACTGATACTGAGACAGTGTAACTATCATCCTTTCTGGCATTCACTGATCAATAAAATAATCCTAACTATGTGCAGAGAATAATTATGGCAGGAAAAAGGGGAAGATGCATGATTAAAACTGGTGGGTGGAGCCAACAGCATCAAAATAGAGCTGATTCATCTTCCCCATATTTTATATTTCAAACTTAAGCTCTTTTTCTCCCTCCACTAAATATCTCTAGGGTCAGCTGAAGAGCCAGCAGGTATATAGTTTCACAGTCCCCAAGGCAGCAACATAAAACATTCACCTTTTTTTTCAGCTTGCTTAGAACTTTAGGAGTCCTGATGACTGTGGCACAAATCAGAAAACTCAACAGAGTTCCTTGGAGATGTTCACCAGCATAAATCTGCAAGCTAAAAGGGAAGCAGAGCCTTTATTCTTAAATAATTCTTATTTAATTCTAATATCTAGCAATCAGTTGGATGAAAATCTCTCTTTGTTTAACATTCAACAGCTGCTGTTCTATTAATGCCTCCATAAGCTACTAATCTGGGCTCCCCAAGGAGGACCTCCAGCAAGAAAACTCTGAAAGAAATATCAGATCTTAAAAACTGGGTCTTTTTTTTTTAAGAGGGGGGAGGGAGGAAAGGAGCAGAGTGTTCAGAAGCACTTTCCAAAGTTTTCAGAAGCTCTGCACACTTGCACACACTCTTTAGTTTCAGAGTTCCTAGCTGTCAGCTTCCACTTTTCACAGCCAACTGTAGCTATAAGCTCTGCAGGTGCATAAACCCCCCAACCAGCATGAGGAGGGCAAGCTCAGCAGGGCACAGTCTGAGCAGATACTGTCAGATTTGTCCACCTGCAAACTTCCAATCATAAGAAACAGACCTGAAGCATCACACTAGGCCGGAGCTCCTCTGGGTGCTAATAGTTTCAGAACCTGAGGCAAAGCCTTTGACTGCAAAAGCTCTTCCTGTTTGTGGTGTAAATGTCACTGTCTGTTAAGAAGAAAGAGAACTGCCCAAGCCATGGCAGCATCACTCAGGTTACACTACTGTCTTGGCCAGCAGTAGGGTAAAACAACCATCATTTAGTCCAGTGCAAATGTTATTCTCATTAAGCTTGTGCCAAGTGATTTGCTAGTTCAGCTAATCTGAATTGGCTGTGGGTACCCAAATGCCAAATAAGCACTTTCCCCTCTTTAATTATAGTCTTCATGTTTCATGATTTAGGTTGCTCCTGTCATTGTTTGCAAGGAGGATGGGGTTGCATAACAGTGTGTAACACGATACAGCTGCAGACAGGGCTGCTCAACCAGCACAAGCTCAAATACAGAACAGCTTCTTCTATTAACCAGTAGCTAAACAACAGCAGGGAAATCTCACCCATCCCTTTTCCACTGGTAGGGGAAAGGGAAGGCCTGTGGGCTGTCCCTTTAGTCTGTTTATGTCCAGCTCATTACAGCCACCAGCATATCAGTGAGATTCAACAAAATTCTCCCTGGTGAGTTCTGCCTAGAAGAAGAACCCAAACTGCTTCTGTGTGGAGAATTGCTTTTGGTGAGAGTTTTAACATATTTATTTGAAGAAAATGGGAAAGCCACCCCAACAATTTCACTTTTCACTCACCAAGTGTCAAAGCTAGTAGGTCTCGCTCAGGCAGAAATCCAACCTGTGTTAGCAGGACTGTTGGGTTTTGTTTTGTTTTGTTTCGTTTTTGTACAATGCCATAGTCCAGCCCAAACTCCTCAGGCATCATGTTGGGGTCCAGGATTAGTCTTAACTTGATCGGATCTTTGTACTTTTGAGGGAAATTCTGTGGGAAGAAGGGACAGTATTAATTTACACTTTTCTGTGGCCTACAGGAGGATCTAAGATCAGAACCTGGGACCAAATTTTTACCTTGCATTCTTCAACACAGTCCCTCTGAAGTCACTGTGACCAGATAAGCTATGGAGCATAGCACAGCCTTATGTGGACGCTTGGATGGAGAGGCTTATTTTTAGCCCAAAGCTCTACCTTAAGGGTTGTCATTTTAACAATCCAGAATAGCCCTTGCTGGTACCTGAGAAAATAAATGACTTTAAAATCATACAACCACTTTAAAGCATCGCAGATGCATGTGAATGTTCATGTTAGTTTGTAAGGCATCTTGCATCCCAGTGTTTTAACAAAGGAAGCTGCACAGATGTTGCCATTTTTAAAATCAGTGCAATTTCTGAGGTAAAAACTACACTGCAACTTAGTGGTTTCACTGTTCTACCCAAAATAGAAATTTTAAGTATGTTCATTGTGATTCTGGAACATGAGGTGTAGGATCTGTTAAATTAAATTAACAGCTGCACATGCTCTTTGCTGTACAGACACAGACTGAGGAATTTAGAAGCTGATGAGTGCTACTAGATATAGAAAGACCACCTGAAAACCCCATGGGTGCAAACGTTCAGCAACAGAGATGTGACCTAGAAATCCTTTTCACACATGGTTCCTAGTTCAGTGTGTTGCACTGACCTATAATGGCAGCTTAGAAAAAGCAACCGGTGTAACAGAGCAGTTTTTTAACTTGGTGCGTGCCCAAACCTGATCCAAGCACATCCCATAGCACTTTGGCTACCGAGTGCAGATTGCTATTAAACAGACTGCTGCCTACATTAGTCAGGAACATTGCTTACTAAGTATGTTCAGACTTCTGGTTGTCTTGCACCAGCCTATTATCTGATCTTAAAAAGCTACCCGGCATTCCCCTGCTGGTGAAGGCTTTGCAGATGGCTACGTGTCAGAACTGCAGCCATCTGCAGATCAGGTTGGTCTGCAGCTCATCATTCGCAGTTCAGGCAGCGAGAGAGGAGATGGAGAGCACAACAAAAGCATCCAAAACACGGCCGGCTAAACATGACTTCTATGCCAGTTCAATTTCCTTGGGACTTTCCCAGCATTCTTACCCCAACTGTTCACAGCAGTGTTAAGATTCAAGATTTCTTTTTCTGGCCCAGGCATCCGAAGAGTTCTTCAGCCTGGCTGCAAAACTATATAAACAAGGATGAAATTCTGGCCCATGTAAATCGTGGCAAAACTCCCACTGATTTGAATGAAGCCAGGCTTTCTCCCCACTACCCCCTTCCACATTTCAAAATGTATGAACAAAAATTTTAAATGTATTTTATAAACAGAGCACTAAAACTGTACTTTTCAGGCTGAATAGAAGAGGGAATATCAAAGATTGTAGCCTTGCTGTTTTCATTAAACTTTCACTGAGGCCAGTTAACTGTGGTGGAACAGCAGTTGTGATCCTGTGTTCTCATCGAGATTGTTATCAAAATTAGCAAAAGCAGTAAAGTTAAAAGAGAGAACAAAGACAGGCCCCAGCTCCTGGAATTTTCTTCCAAGTGTTCTCAGAGTGCCTGTTTGTGTGCTTAACTGCAATTCATCTTTCATTCTCCCCTGTTGCTTATGGACTCCAGTCCTCAGTAGGATGCTAGATTCCTTGGCAAAGAGATGCAGGCTGTGTCGGTACCATTCTTCAAACTTCACTGATCATTAAGTCATCTGCAAAATTCCTTCCAGATATCTTACTGCTTCCCCAGTGCTGCTCCAATACATCAGTGTACCCCCAGACAGTCTTAAAGATTTTGGTTCTGGGGAAAAAAACAGGACTCCACAACAATCAATGAGCACCAGGCTTTTCAGGGAGCCTGTGTTGATTCAGGGAATGCTCCCAAGGGAACAACATGCTGTACCTTGCCCACTGATAAGCAGGAGCAAGCCATTCAGCAGGGAACTGCATGGTCCCACTTCCCAAGAAATGTAATCCCTCTAAGTCAACAAGGCAGGCAGGGCACCGATAATTTTCTCAGAACAGAGCAGACATTATTACAGGTCTGGTAGTGAGCAAGCAGAAGTTGACACTTTGTGTCTTCGTTACTACAGAAAAACTTTTCACAAACAGAGCTGTCTGAACTCTCTCCAACTGTTTGGGCAAGTCCAGAGGAGTGTCTTTCTGACCAGGTCTCCTGTAGTCTGCAGAAAGATGATGGAGTTCAAGGGCTGGGCCGTTACTATTCTTTGTCCACCGTCTAAATTGCATCTAAAGCCTTGCCTTAGGACAGGCAAGTACTTCCCTAACAGGAATCAAAGCAGGATGTGATGCGGCAAAAGCAAGGAGCAAATGATGGGCTTTGCACCAAGTACAGGGAAGAGACACACTAAACCATGACGAGTAGTGAAGAGATCTCACCACACTTTCTTTCCAGAGATTTTTCCCATGCTACAAAAACACTGGGTAAAGTCCTGAGCTAAGCAGATTTCTTTCACTGAGCGCACAAAACCCGTGCTGTCCCAAGACTCGCAGGGACCGACAGCCATTAGAGGGCAGCAGGTATCTAACACATGAATTGATGGATCCCTTTCCGATACAAGATGTCCCAGCCTGCAGAACTCACTAGGCAAAACAGACAAAAAGTATTTACTTTTTAAAAAATCTCCTTAAAGAAGCACTGTCAGCCAAGCACCTTGCCACAGGCAGTACAGCCACATGCCATCCTATGCCAGGAATAAAAGTGTTGTAATGTCTCATCCTGAATGAGCCATCCACCATCCTACCCAGCTATTATCCTGGAGATACAAGAAAGAATTGCATTTCCGGCAAACATCCTGACTTAACAGCTGAATGGAAGTCTGGAGTGAAATATTCATCCCATGAGCTGCCCTCAGCTTCCAGCAATGAAAATAGAAAGGGGAGGAGGGGGAAAGCCCCGAAATGAAAGCCCCAAAATAGTTGAACTGGGATATTTGTGACTTGAGCTGGGATACTTGTGACTCTGACATTATTTATTTAGCAAGGAGCAATAAAAGATGACCCTGCCACATAGATGCAATTGTGCAATTGATTGCTTTATGTCACCTGGTCCTCAGGTGAGTGGCCTGGCCACTGAAGTCGGTCTGTGCTCAGAAGACTCTACAAGCAGAGCATCCTGAGAGCAAGCAGCACCATCTGCCTGGGGAGGAGAGAGGCAGGGCTCTGTCCCTTGCTGAGCACTCCTCAGCAGGAGGCACAGTTTCACTGGCAGCTCCTCTCCATCCCACTGATCCAAAGGTGAAGCCTCTCAGAAAGTAGACAACGTAGAGTGGAAATAAAACTGGCCTAGCAAGCCACAGCCACTCATTTCCCATCACTGAGAGAACTCACTCATCTGCTCACATTGCCAGCACCGAGGCAGCAAGGGCTAAAGCCCAAGTCAGAGACTTGAAGCACAACATGATGCCAGTAATTTCAAGTGACAGACACACCCAGAGAACTCCTTGGCTGTGAACTAACCCCAGCAGCCAGCCGCGCACAGGCACAAAATGTCTGCAGGCCCCTGGGGAGGCCCCAAGCTCCTGCAGCACCGCCCTGGGGAGCCGACCGCAGTCCTGGGCCCCAGCCCCACAGCCAGCAGCCAGCCAGGAACTGCTCCTTACATACCCCGGGATTACCCTGGTTGTAACAGGGGAAACTTCTCCCCTGGCTTCAAAACAAAATGGGTGCCCGGTCTCAGTAGTGTTCCTTGCTTCCCAGGCAGGCACACTGAGGCTGCTGTAAGCTGCGGGCTGGTGAGAGCCCTGCGGAGAGATCAGGACTGCCAGAAGGGCTAGCGAGGCTCATGAGGGACTGCCCACAACAGCTGCGCCAGCCCCAGGCTTCTCCCGGCAGGCAGGCAGGGCAGGGCTGTGGGGAGATGGAGATGGGTCCTGCTGCCACGTTGTTTGGGCCAGAGCTGATGGCTCTGGGGGCTGACGTGGGGTCCCGGCTGTGAGGGAGCCCTGGTCAGCCAGGCAGGAGCTCAGGGCTGGCGCTGCCCTCAGGGTCCGAGTGGAGCTTTGGAGCTGCTGGGCCTCCTGCCCAGCATGGCACAGAACAGGCTTGGGCAGACGTCTCCTGCGGGACCTGGCAAGCCCATGGCTGCTGTGCCCAGTCTGCTTGCACAGGCAGTGACAGCCATGCACCCTTCCCATGAGCTGCCCGAGCCCACTGCCCTCAGCCTGCCAGCAGCAATGCCTGACATCGACCTCACTTCCCATCTCAGTTTCTGCGTGCCAGGTTTATGATGGCCATTTGCTTTTGTGTCAGCATTGTCCTTTAACTGAAATAACTCCTCTTCCTCCTTAGCATTAACCTCCAGGATGTATTTATAGAGAGCGATCATATCCCTCTCTCAGCCTTTGTGGTGCAGGACTAAATAAGCCAAGCTCTTTCAGTCTACTTTTATAACCTCAGCTCTCCAACACCCTAATCCTCCCACTGCCTTTCTTTGCACCTGTTCCAGCATGAATCAATCTTTTTGAACATGAATGACCATAACTGCCCCTCATTGTGCACATGGCATGTCACATTGCTTTCTACAACAGAATTAGTATTTCCCTCTCTTGAGCACCAGAGCTCTGCATCAGGCAGCTGGAGACTTTGCCTGCTTTCCTTCCTCATGGATGCAGTCATCCTGAATAACAAACTAAATTCTGAGAAGAACACAATATGCTGGGGCAAAATACCACTGGGTAACAATGATACAGGGAAGCATATGATATAAACCCAGGAGCATCATATTTTAACAACTAGAAAAAAAGTATTTTGGAGGAATGCTGTGGACAAGATTTTTTATAAGTTCAGGAGGTGGAAAAATCCAAAACTCTTTTTCTGTGACAATCTCACACTTTAAAAACCTATCAAGCTTATATGGAACAAAACATTGTGAAAGGACTGTGTGGAACTGTGGACTGTCATAAAAACCATTCACAGGTGGTAAAAGTATCCTTACAACATAAGAACTAACCAAGTAAAATGTGTCCAATATAGAGCAAGTGATGGCCTCTGTCCCACATGTTTTTTGCAGTGTGTCTGACTGTCTGTATTACTGTTCCTGTGTGGCTGCTGTGCTCCTTTATCTTCCAGCATCCCCTTTGACACCCATGTCAATCAATCCCAGTATTTCTGTCTTTAATCCTTCTACACTCTGACTGGTGAGAGGAGACATTTTGATCTCTATATGTATGAATTCTGAAAATTCATTACTTAGAGCAACTCCAGGGCTTTTCTGTACTCCAGTCTCCTATGGTGACTAGCTAGGGATCCCAGTCAAAGCCCAGATACAACATACTGGAACCCATATCACATCTGACCACTCAGCTCTGTTCCTTTCTAAGCCTCCCAAACACCAGATGCCTGTACTGATAAAGGAGGATGACCGTTCCATGTGCTTTCAGCTGCTGTCTTTATGCCATCCATCAGGATGTTTTCAAAGTCACACAACACATGGACTCTGTTCTCCAGCAGTGCTGGGGAGGAAATAGGGCAAGGGAACTTCTGCCCAGCTTTCTGGACACCTCCCCGCACCAGGAAATGGTCTTTAGTGCCATCAAAAGCATTTACAGGTAAAGCGAAAAGCCACAAATCTTCAGGCTCTTCAACTGAGTAATCAACCCTTGTGTTTCGCTTCTCCTATTGGTTTTCTGTGCTAGATGGGCCTCCTCCGTTTACAGAAGGTGACCCCAGGGAGAGGGTGCTGACCTCCCGAGGGGAAGCCGGTGTCCTGCCATGTGGCCATCCGTGCCCAACGCTCTGCTGCTGGGCACTAGGGGCCACTCTCTGAGCTGCTGAGCACAGCCAGCAGCTGTGTCTTGTCACTGTCCTCCCCTCCCACCCCTGCCTGCTGCCCTGCTCACTGGAGCTTAGCTGGGAATCGGAGGGGAGAGCTAAGAAGGGAGGCAGAAGCAACTGGCAGGCGTGAGGAGCCGGGCTGGTACTGGCTGGGAGCGATGGGAGGGGGGAAAGGAGGTGATATGAGCCTGGGAGAGGAAGAAGAAAAACATGCTGCTGCAAGTCCTTCCCCCGTGGAGTCTGAAGAGAAGAAAGCTGTTTGCTGACAGAGAAGATTAGGAAGCCCTCCCTTGCTCATGCCAGCCCATCCCCTACGAAAAGCTACCACTTGGGTCCTGCCCTGGGACTTGGTGTCAGCGCACACTTGGACCAGAGCGTGGGAATAGAGGGACCTCCAGCTTGCTTGAAACAGATGGGGCATAAGCTTCATGCACCCAGGATTCCCCTTCCCCCAGATTCCAGCTGGAGGTAGCACCCCTTGGGCCTTGCATTGACCCACAGCTTCCTCGGTGAGGGGGGACCTGTAAGGCAGATAAGGGCAGAAGAAGAGGCGGTGCTGGGGGAGGCAGAGAGCAAGTGAGGCCAAGATGGACCCTTGCCCCTGGAGAATCCCAGCAGACAGTTCTGAGATGCTCTCCCCTTAATATAGCACCATCTGCCCATCTATTTTCTCCTCTGGCTCGCTCACAGGGATCTCCACATTGCAATCAGTGTGTCTGGCATACTTGAGCTAGCTGCAGCCCAGCGAGGTCAGGCAGAGAGCGATCGCAGCAGGGGCACAGCAGCCAGCCCTTCAGCCTTCTCACAAAGGCAGCCAGTTCTCCAGGTCCCTGAACTGGTTTTTGCTGAAGGCCATGCTGCTCCCTCTCCCCTGCTTTGACCTGTACTGACTAGATCAGCCAGCATGTGCTGCCTTGCAACGATTTCAGAGCAGCCTGGTCCCCGGGGACCATGTCTACATGCAGCAGGGGCTGGTATGCTGGATGAAGAATGAGAACAGGTACACCTGGGCACTGGTCTGAGAAACAGTTTGGCAGGTCTCATGATTTTGTCACAAGTCACGTTATTCCATATTTTTTGATCACACCTCAGAAACAAGAGCTTCATTCTTCAACACAAACCTGACCTTGCATAAGAAGCCAGTAGGAATACCACTTTTGTACTCGCTGCTTATTTGCTTCTCTGAGCCTTGCAATTTGGAAGGTAAATTCATTTTTCTCTGGTTCAGGATGGTGGTAGAAGGAATTTTAAGAGACATTTGTTCTCAAAGGATGTTCTTGCCTACATGTTTTTTCATCTTTTTTTGTGTTTTTTATCTTCACAGGCTTTGTGGTCTTTGATGCAGAACTAGGGCTTCAGGTGATTCCATTTTTCACAAAGTTTGGGTTGCCATGCAAATAATAATTACAATCATTTATATGGCCGAGCAAAAGCCTTATTTTTTCTTTTCCCTGAAAAGGGTGTGACACAGGGACAGACTGGGCAAAGTTTGCAAAACATTTTATACTGTATGCTGATTGCTCCATCTTTTAAATCAAGTTAAGGCTCCAGAGAAGAGAGGGAATTTGCTGGGGAAGATCCAACAAGGACCAATGACTCGCCCGGCACAGTAGACTCCTATGCTTTCCCTGCAAAGATAGCACAATGTCCATCTACATACTCTGAAACCAAAGCCAATGATAAATTTCCTCCCCTATGAAGCAATACTACAGCACAAATCAAGATTAATTGACATCCTCGTGCCTTCCACAGCTGCACAAATGGTTGGTACAGCACAAGTGGGGCCTGTTCGCTAATCGTGAAGTATCTAAGAGCAGACCTTGGATTACTGTGGTCTATAGTAATATATCACTTTCCATAAAAAGAAAAGAACATTGTGCTCTCTTTCCCAACACTCTTTCACCCCAGCTCATCAGTTGCCCAGCAATCACTCTCCTCTCCCAACACTTGCATAGCAGACAGCGTGGCTTTTAATCCTGGAGAAGTTCTGTTGTGCTAAACTAAAGCAAAAGGAGCAGGGAGAAGCAGCTGGGAGCAGGGGGAGGAGTTTTTTTTGACAAGAGCAAAAAGAATGCAGTACTAGGGGAGTTTCCAGGTTAACAGAAGTCTAAAGGCCACTCTGTCTTTCCTAATGGCTCCAAAGTGCTTAACTGCCACAGGGAGAGGGAGAATATCTGACGGAGGGAGCAGGCTCCTCTCTCTTCAGACTAGTTCCATCTCACTGCACAGTCAAAGTTGCTGTTGAGTTGTGCTCTGTTTCAGTTGCAGGAGCCTTCTAAGGCACATACGTTATGTTCTCTGTTGTGAAACCTATCATTTCGCAAACTGGCTGAAGTTTTCAATCATTTTGCAGAATGCCAGGAGATGTTAGGTATGCACATGAAATCCTCACCCTCTGGCTACTACTAACTCCCTAACTCAAAGAGAGATGCAAAACTACTCTTATGTTCATTTCTACAACCAGGCAATCTTTTGTAATTACTTTTAAAGCCAGTCAGCAACACCCATCCCCTGACAAAGCTAACTAGTGTTTTCACAACTGAGCATTGTAACATCAGCATTATATTTCAGTCTTGCCAGTAACATTTGCCTCTGATTCCCAGTGCTCTGGGCCACCACAACTCCATCACCCAATCCCACCACAACTCCATCACCCTCAACTGAATATTGATCAACTATCTGAGTTCAATAATAAGTTTCTTTCCATCAACCAAAGGAAGATAAAGAAATGGTCACAGCTAGAATTTTAAGTGGCCCAGCACTATATGCTATGGGAAATACATCAGTTCCCAGATCCAGAATGGTGACACCACTGTCTCAGTACACATTCTGCAGAGGAAGATCAGGGTCATATGCAAAAAGTCAGTCAACAATGAACACCATTAGGAAAAACAACATGCTGGATGTATAAACAGGAGAAAAACCCTCGGGACGAGTGAAGTAATCCATCCATCCATCCATCCATCCAGGACTATTCAGGCTGGATCTGGACTGCTCTCTGGTTTTGGGAGACAATTCTTCCACACCAGCCAACTGGAAAAAGTCCAGAAGAGAGGTGTGAGATAGACAAGAGGCCTAGAAACCATGATCAGTGACAAAGGACCAGAAGAACTGTGTCTGTCTGAGAGCATCCCAGTCAATACAAATTGCATGCAAGCGCAGCTGCCCACAGACTAACCTGTTTCTGATAGCTGTAATAACTGTAGTGCACCAGGGTGCCCAGGATGCCAATTTTAGCAAAGCACTGCAACAGCAGTGCCAGGCAGCTTGCAAATGACTCCAACTTTCAATCACTTGGCATGTTGATGGAGAAGTGGAATAAGGCAGTGAGGTAAAATGTCTGCAATTCCTATTCCAAAAAGACTAAACTTTTAGTCATCTTGTGATAAAACATGTTGCAAAATAAAAAAATAAAAAAAAAAACCTGCAGTCATTCCATGGAATTATTTTGCAGGATGAGTAACTCACATATGAAAATATTTTTTTAAATCATTCTAACCAATTGGGCCACACTGTCATAATACCTGAACAGCATGCAGTCTCAAGGCCCTACACAGACCACTAAGGGCTGCTCACTTCTTTTGAAAAAGGGCATAAGGCTCCAAAAATGGTTTACATTATTTGACCACAGAAACCACAGGAGTCTTTGGCTGAATCAGGATCCAAAACAAGATCTTATAAGTCCAAGGCCATAGCCCTGTCTGTGCATTCCCCATTTTTCATGCAGTTTTTGCTCTTGGTCATCCATTAGTACAATTAGAGCTATAACTATATATCGCCTAGCACAGCAAACTACCTGAATCCTATGGTGAGTAACACAGCTTATTCACCCAAACTTAGTCACTTTTGATATTGCAGGGAAATTCAGTTTCAGAATCCAGGCATGTGGCTGAAATCACCTCCTAACCTAGGCCCTGCAAGGCTGAAGTCACCCCCCACCCCATACACTCTGCATCAGATCAGGGAAAGCCTTTCTCTTCTGTTAGCAGATAGGCAGAAACTGAGCATGGAAATATCAATATCAATAAAAAAATACCAGTTATCACAATCCTTGTTGTACAGGACAGAGAAGATCTGGCTGCTTTCTCTTAAAATCCTTGTTTGGCTGAAGGCCTGTGTGTACACAACTTTCATTTCCTCTCCTCCATCTTTGTTTTCACCTAAACTCACAGTTCCCTGGGAGAGGGCTGCCTGGCACTCCTTGTAGTTGTTTTATGATTACCACAAGCAGCCTTTCCTATATGAAAAGGATAGGACTGGAGTCAGACTTTTCCCTAGCAGCTCTCCTCTGGTGCCAGCTGGACCCTCTGACCAGAACTGCTTCTCCATGGCTGCTGGCACTGCACTGCAGTGCGGCGGTACCCAGGTGTGGTGCATAAGGTGTCAGGGAGGTGCAGTGGCACAGTGCAGTGCCAGCAGCCATGGAGCTGCAGTGGCACAGTGCAGCAAGAGCTGCAAAACTCTGCAAAAAACTGGAAAGTCAGGTGACTGCCCTGGCAGCAAGTCCTCACCCCAGTGCTGTGCAGCCCTGGCTGTGCTGGCAGGTGAGCTTGTTCTGGGGAGGATGAAGTTAACTCCGCTCCCTCAGCACGGCCTGCGGCATAGATTAATTGCAGTGCAAACGCATCCCAAATTTCTAAGCTTGCTGGTCAGCCTCAGGACTCGGCACTGATGCATCCCCAGAGAAATCTGAAAAAATAACTGATTCTATAAAAGTAGCCTATCAGTGTTAACTTCTCAAAGGCTTTTTCCTCCAGTTTCCTCCATTTGCTGACAAATAGGAGGACTCTTCCCCCTCAGCTATTGCAATGGTCTTGTGCAGTCAGGACGTTCGGCTGCTGAGGCAGAGGTGTGGATTTATAGCACTGGCTTTTGCATAGTATAACGCAGAGCCTCAGGGATCAAGGGTTATGACATTTTTATGGCTTCTCTTCTCCTCCCTCATATGAATATGAAGCAACTGTAAGGAAAAACATCTGGTTTCACTTTTCTTTTCTCCACCACTGTTCCCATCTGACAAAACCTTAAAAACTTGCCAGTGTTCTAGCAAGCTGTGTGTGCCAGCAGCCTGCAAGGAGCCAAGGATTTTTTGGTGTCATCACAAGCAAGAGTACATTGGTCTGGAAGTACTGGCTCCATCATTGCTAGAAGGCAAGACTACCCAGATCTTGTCCCACTGGCAGATGCACTGGCAGCCCTCCTCCTCTGCTAGAACAGGCTGAAGGGTTGCTAAAAGACTGTCCCTCCATCTTGATCTCATTACAGGCAGCATCTCCAGGGGGAAATGTGGGCCACTGTGGAGAACACTGTGAGAGGAGCCAACCCCTGCTGAGGGCAGGGAAAATGACATGTTCTGCCTCACCTCAGAGTCTTCAGAGGGATTCTTCTGGGGTAGAAAAAGAGTCTTGCTCTATTTCTGAGCAGTGGCATGCTGAGAAAGGCTTGTGCCTGGCTCTGTGCTCAGGGCTAGTCTGCACCAGAAAAGAAAGATGAGCCAAAAAATCCCAGAAGCTCCTAGGTCCAGGTGGGACCCACACTGTCGGTCAGGAGTATAAGAACAAAATACTACAAACTCTGAGGCCAGTCTGGCAAAGGTGGTCAATAGCTGGCCAATAGCCTGTTTCCACAGCTGGACATTAAGAAATAAAATCAGTTCCCTCATGTTATCTTATTTATCCAAAGAAAGAAAAAATTAAACTGTTTCCAGGAATCTGAAAGTATTTCTTCTTTATCTACAGGAAAGGAAGGCATCTCTGCAACAGGCAGTGTTGTAGCTCTGGGGAACCTCCAGAAAAAATCTCTTCTCAGGATGTGCCATCTTCGAACCCCCAGAGGAAACCAAGTGGACTGTTTGGACACATTTTACAAAAGTGGGGCAACTGCTGAGTGCTGGCCCCAGGGATGTGATGCTGAGTACTACTGCCTTGGAGGCCATGAGATGTGAAGGTGCTTCACAGGGATGTAGTTGCAGGACTCTGTGGCAAACAGGGTCATATGTTAGGCATCCTAAGAGTGAAGCACCCAAATAAACAATACTGGTCTCCAAGTAAGGTCTCTGAGGGACAGGAACCAAAAGTGCTCATGGCAAAGGATATTGAACTTGAAGGCACACAAAGAAAATGTTCTGTGCTGTGGGCTGCAAGACAAGACCCACGGTATTGTTTTCCAGTTTCTTTCTCTCTTTTTGACTGTTCTTCTTGACTATGCCAATAAAAAAAACACCACTCCCTCCTCTTATTCTTTTTCTTTGTTTACTTAACTTCTTTTCCTCGTAGCAACTGCATAAAGTTGAAGCCATCTGATATTTTCAAGTAACCAAGACCATTATTCACTGAAGGCACTGGCCTGGATCCTAATTGCTGCTGGTTTCATACTCAACACAAACCTTGCAAACAGCTGTAAATATCTCTATACAGTACTCCTCTCATGTCAAGCTGACCCTAATTCTTACAAGTCCTCTGGGATGCAAATAAAAGTAGTGCCAGAGAAAATAGGTGTGCTAGGTACACTTTGGAAGGACAAACAGCAGCAAAAGAGGAGACATTGTAGAAATAGTGTTTTACATGCCTTTTCCAAGGCATGCAAAGGGGAAGCAGGTGAAAGGATTTGGTGGTGACTGGTATTTGCAGGCCACGTGACGGGATGAAGAGGCCTTACATCTGTGTGAAACTAGGACAATGAGGACTTTCTGGATCATGTCCCAGCACCCAGAGGATGTTTGAGAAGGAAGCTGGAGCATCCCCTTCCCACTTACTCTTCCAAGCCTTTGTTCCAGGCAAGCTATTATTCTGGCATTACCCAATTTCTTCATCTTCTTTCCCTCCATTCACACAAAAGGCCTGTGTTTCATGTGAACCTTTGTTTAAGGTTAAAGAGCATCATAACTGCCAGGTAGCAACATTGCATTACACGGGTGACAAGGTCAGGGTAAAATCCTTGCTAAGGAAGAGGAGAAGTCTGTGCTTTGCACCTCTCCTTGCCAGTCACTGAAAGGAGAAAAGGACAGCGCAGCAAAGCATGTGACAAAGTGCAAAATATGGTACTTTTGGTTAGGTTTTAGTCTGCTTCACTCTTCATTCCAGAGGAATGCCAAAAAGTAAATTAAAAAATCACAGTGCAATCATTTCACTACAAAAAAAAAAAAAAAAAAAGTCACTGAAGTATCTTTTGGGTTTCTTTTCCTTTCAAAATACAGTTCAACTCAGAGATGGGGGTGGGAGGAACATCCAGTCTTTTAGCTCCCCAAGAGTCACCTCACCTTTTATTGCCCCTATTCCTCACATCCTGCCCATCCCCTGTGTGATTTTATGCTGCCCTTCTGCTCTCTTTCCCATTTATCACATGGTATCTCCCTTTTCCACTCATTTCCTCCTCTTCTCTGATCCACTCATGCATTCCAGCTTCCCTCACTCATCCCAAAGTTTGTTGGAACATCAGTCCTCTGATGCCTTCAGCCCTTCATCCCACATGGCTGGCTGCATCCTGCAAAGGGGCTCCCCTCCTGACAGCAGGGCTGCAGGGGGCTAAATCCTCTGCTTCTCATGGCCAAGCAAGTTCCACCACAAAGAGCAGAAACTGTGAGGAGAAAACTGGGGGAGGCAAAGAAGGCACAGTGTGAAAGTCCACAGCTACATACCAGGAGATGGAAATCAGTACAGCTGGTACTGTGTGTTCAGCTCGCAGCCAAAGTCCTTTCTCTCAAGGTTGTGCTGACAGACTACAAAAACAAGGGCTGAAAGCACAGCATGAAAGTGAGTGATGGGGAACTTGCCCCAGCAGAAAGAATCTGTGAAGAGGAAGGTTTAACATGTTTGTTTGAATGTGAAGCCCTTGTCAGGAGATTGTCAGGAGGGGCCATGAAAGGTGTTCATCCAATGCACACCTAGTACTTCTTGGTGCACATGTGTGCACCAAGCCTTTCCACCTAAGTGCTCTCCTTAAAACTCAGCCCTTTCAGAGTGACATTTAAGAAGGACACACAGACCATCCCCCATCTGCTCCAAGACATGAGATATGCTGCAAATGAAAACATGTGGCAAGCAAATTTTTACCAGGAACAAATATTTGCCATCGTTCTGGATGGCTGCTATGCCACACTACATTCTTCCTGGCACATTAAAGTGGATAAATATTCTCGGAAAAGTAAGTAGATTTCTGCCATCAGAAAGGGCTCGCAAACACTTCAGGCCACTGCACCCTGGGTCTTCATTTCTTGTCAAGCCAGGGGTCTATGCACACAGCTGGTTTCTCTTAAGTCCTGGCGAGATGAAAGAGCCAGAGGGTCAGGTAAATACTAATTGTTAGAAAGATGTGGACACCCAGCACAGTGAAAACTGCACTAAGGGTTGCAGATACATGCCCTGTGCTAACCAGCCACCTCTTAAGATCTCTCAGGATTTCTACTGACATTTCATTTATTCTCTTGCTCAAGTGCCACGTCTACCTGGCAAACGAATTCCCTGTACTCCCTTATGCCAAGTTTCACTCCAGCATGTCAAAACCACTGCCCTACACTGCAGCATTCCTTTCCAAGTGAACTATTCCCCCCCTCCCTCCCACAGGTCCTGCTGATGGCAGCTCGAGGTTGTATAACTGCACGCTCCCTCCTTGATAATAGCGAGAACCAGGATTTCCTGGTATGTCAGAAATGGTTTTGCCACTCCTGCCTGTGTGAAAGGGGTGGGACAGGAGGCGAAGCAGCCATCGTGTGTTACAGCTCTGGGTCGTGTCTGTGCACCTTGACATCCCGCCAGGCTATAATAAGAGAGACCTGCAGGGAGCAACATATGTCAAAGTTGGTAATTTTCCTTCCTGCCTTCACTCCTCGAAACTGCCTCTACTGGATCAACGCCCTCCCAGTTCCTTCTTTGGACAGCCAACGAAGCATGCACACTGCAGGAGCAGCTGCCAGCTCTGCTGGAAAATGTACAGACCAAAAGATCACCTGTGAGTGCGCAGTCTTGGCGTGAGCTGTTCTGCACGTCTGCAGCTCAACAATGCTGCTGTGGCTTTGGGAGGCAACAGCAGCCGACCGCAGCGCCGGCCGGCCACTCACAATCCACAGCCAGAGGCGCCTCTGAAAACATGCTCCCTGCAGCAGGGAGACCTTGCAGAAGCCTCACAAACCTCCCCTCATTTTTAAGCTGAACCAGGTTAATAATCCTCTTCCTCTCCCTCCCCCAGCAATTTTTAGCTTCCCTGGACAGCCACAGTGTCAGTGCACATCTGGAAAGGGCATCGCTGGACCATTTGCAGTTGGATTGGAGCCAGATGCAGCAAAGATTTGAAAGGTCCCTTGCACTATCTTCCTTCAGATTTCCTTAGTGTTGAGTGACATCAAGACTGCTGGTGACTTCAAGTGGTGCCTACTCATGCTCCCTGCCAGGCCAGGCATTCAGCTGAGATGCAGCCCTGGCCCTGGGCAGCCAGGCTTGGAGAACCAAGTGGTTTGTGGGGCCCACAAAGTTGGCCTCCCTCCCAAGAAGAATCACTAAAATGTGCACAGAAAAAACCCCAAGTTTGCAGAGGTTTTGATAACTTGTATTGCAGCCAGGTTTTTAACTGCTTTTATGGACGTAATTCTGATGCTGCATTGTTTGATGCTGTCCCATCCCTCATCAGGGCCAATCTGGCTTAAGATTCTTTCTGAAGAAAAATTGTAAATTCACCTGACCAGTGATCTTTGAGCTCCCAGAATTGCCAAAGTAGTTCTGCTTTGCCTTTCCTCTTTTCTCCTGACTCCCTTCCCCCCAGCTACTTCACAGATGCATGTGGCCCACTTCACACTTTCTAAACCCCTACCTGAATATGGAATTTGCAAGCTGCTTATTTTTGTGACGTTTGTTTCAGGGAAAATGGGAGCATCAGTGTCATCACATTACCAAGCTCACCACATTTTCTGCATTGAATGCAGGCAGGCTGGCAGTACTCCTTGACACTGGGGCAATCCTTTGACAGGAGCAGGAAAGACCATGTACTCACACCAACTAATTCAGCTGATTTATTTTTAAATGCTGCAATAAGCCAGGAAACAAGTGAATGGAGAAGTGCAAACCCTCTGAGATCTAGAAGGCTCTCAGAGTTGCTTTATGGCTCTGCCTGCCTCTCAGTTGTCTCTGCCAGTGATTCAGAAAACCCTGTTTAATCAGATCCAGCTCCTGCCATCTGTTAAGTGAGACACTATAGGGACTGAGTATTGTAACAAAATGCATATCAGAATTGCCCTTGATTTAGCATACTTTGTGCAACATGTCCCGTTGCCCTCATTCACAGCAATCACAGAGAGGCTTTAAGGCTCCTTTTCTCTTTGGGGTGTAATGACTCACTGCAGTGGGTGAGCAGACCACACCGACCCTCTGCATCCCCCCAGCTCTGAGTCACAGGCTGGGATTAGAGGGACATTTTAGGATTACAGACAAGCACTCTCCCAGAGATATCCTTCTTTTCTGCCTTTGCCAGTACCTTGCTTAACAGAGGCTGTGTAGGCTCTCTGATGTGGCAGAAAGGATGGAAATTCAGGGAATTCCCGGACAGCTTGTGATTGTATAGCCGGGTGTCTGATCAAAGGTACATATCGATCAGCTTGGTCAGTGACACCCAGAACACATAAAAATGGGATCACATAAGTCCATCCATCCATCCATCCATCCATCCATCCATCCATCCATCCATCCATCCTCGTGCCAGGAAGTCTCTTAACAGTGAAACAAAAGAGTGTATTAGCAGTTGGCAGAGATGGGTGTTTTGCAGGACACCTGGCACTTCTGAATGGCCCCTCCAGGTGGCATTGGGGCAGGGCCTTCATTTTACACACCTTTGAGATGATGTGCTTTGTGTTTTTTCAAGCAGTCACATGTCTCTTGTGGTGGGACAGCAACCTTATTTCTTGAAGACAACCCAGGAAGATGCCATGGGAGCAGAGCTGATTATCTCCTCCTGGTAAGGTAGTTTAGCTTGCCTCTCACAAAATCCCTGGCTTGGCAGTACCTGGCATTTTGGAAGAACATCTGCAGTGGCTGGAGGGGATGCATATCCCACTGTGCTTGGGAAACACCTTCCCACATGCTTCAGTGTGTCACTCAGGCTACTGCTGCTGAAATACCTGACCTGGTTCTACAGGTATGGATACAGACACGAACATCAACGTTTAGAGAGTGACTCAGAGAGTCAGGGACCTTAATGAAATGCATTAAAAAAAAAAAAAAAAAAGGAAGAAAATGAAAGAGGGAGAGCTGA